TGTAAAATTACATTTCAATTTTGTAACTTACAATGTAATTTACATGAAACGTAACAAAGTAATTTATGTAATACATCTCTAACCAGAGTTACGAACTAATTCTACCATAATTATGTTACCAGAGTTACGAGTTAAGTCTACCAAAATTATGTTTACCAGAGTTACCAACGTAAATCTACCAAAATTTTGTTTACCAGAGTTATGAATTAATTCTACCAAAATTGTGGTTATGAATTAATTCTATAAAATTATTGTTATGAATTAATTCTACCAAAATTCTGATTATGAATTTGTCCAAAATGATAATTCTACGATGAAAAATACAAACAATTCAGTATCCTTTGGAAGATATTGTAATATCTACGTAATAACAATTTAAAATAGATTTGGCACCTGTGTTTTAGCATAATATAATAACGGTAACGAAAACATCTTCGTAACAAAATACAATGGTAGAATTGACTTCGTAGAATATAAATATTGTCATCAATTGTACGTATTTGTTGCTCAAGAAGGTGAATTTCTCTAGAATTTAGGTCCAACAGTATTAGATGTGTACTAAGTGTATTTATTAAACTAATTTAAATCTATAATACCTTATTTGTGCTTGAGTTTCTTCAAAAATTCCGAGAGACAGACGAATGGCAGGCATTATATAGAAGTTGATTTGTCGCAATAAGATTTAACGTGTAAGCAGTTCTTAAAAGAAATTTAAAGTTTCTTTTATACTATTTTTTTCACTAATAAGCAAATTTTTTGAGTTTTTTTTTTGCATTAGCACAGCCTTTCATCATTACAAGTTGATTTGTTTTTAATAAATATGAATTCTTTAAACAAACTTGTTTCTTAGTCTATTTTAAGAATTCGGGTTTCAAAAGCTTTTAACGCGTATGATTTACTGGAGTTTCTTATCACATAACATTGAGATACAGTGCATCACGTAAAACTAATGATGCATTCGAAGGTCATTGATTCAATTCGTGCACACGATTGGTCCATTTATAAAGCTGATCACTGTGCCTCGTGATGTTGTCTAAATGCGCAAAGGTTATAGGAAAGTAATGATTCACTTTTTAATTTGTACAGTGCCTCAAAACCACTTCATACCGTATATTAGCATATATAACTTTTTATGCAATAAAAAAGATTAGTATTCAGTATTGAATTTTATTAATTAAGAGAATTATCACCTTGTTCACACTTAGAATATATTTTATTAAGCTTATAACATAGGAATTACAAAGTTATTACAAATTTAATAAAAATAAAAACTTTATAAATCTGTTTTCCACCAGTCATTATTCCAACGCCTGGGATCACTATATGAATAAGTTTGGGGACATTGTTTTCCCTTATCGTGATAAACAGCTTTACATCTTATTGAACAATTTAAACACTTGATCTTTTCTGCCTATTCTTGGCTCGTGACTTCAGACAATTTCGGTTCATACCTCATGATTTTGGCAATTTCGAAGCAAACCAACAATCATTCGTATTATGATTAGTTTTTTGGCACCGTTTGCACCACTTATAATTTTCATATTCAACTTTATCCCAATCCCAGTCAGTTATAAAACCACTATAACAATATTTCTTGTCCTTCAAGCACCAATTACACTTGCTTACTTCTTTATCCTATGAGAAAGGAGGATATTTCGGTATGGAACCCCATCCTACTTCCTCTTGATCTAGAGTAGATAATTATCGGTCAATATTTCATAAATACTATACAAAATAATTTGAATGTACTTACAACTCATTACTTGAAATATAATTATCAGTGATTTTGATACAATATATGCATGCTTCGTTTTTTCTATCTTCAAAAAGATATTGACTAAAAAATGACAAATTTTGTATTATCTATTTATTGAAAAATTTATATGTATCTAAGCATTTACATCATGTTCAAATAATACAATCTTTTTCACGTGAATTTGAATATAGTCTAAAAAATTTTATGCGTAAATATATACTGGTTAATGCTAACTGATTATATATTTTTATTGCAGAAACGAATACATGTCAAATAGTTTTTTTTCATTTGATATATATTGATAAATCATAATGATATTTTACAATTGTTAATTTAAAAAATACATGCTTTAATATATAATATTAGTGATAATATTTACTGTATATATATAATAAATTTAAAAAAAATATATAAGATTATTATATAAATTAAAAAACTCGACACT